AGAAGAAAATCACCCCAAGACACAAAAGGGTTGCTACCGACAGAAGTCGTACTCGAAAAAACCAAACTTCGAACTATTAAGGAAATTATCATTTTCAGCCAACTGACATTGATATATTATTGACGTTAACATGTAGTAGCATTGGCTCTAACCACCAAATCCTTAAAGATGAACACGAGATAACTGGTAAAATGGATATTCAACAACTAACACGAAGAGGTCAACAATGATAACGGCGGGAAGAATTGATTGAGGTTAATCGAATAGCATGTCTCAGCTTCACAGACGTGGTCATTCTGTATAACCTGTCTTTATTTACATTAAATATACCATTCTATCTTTATTCTAAATGTGTTCTTCAGATGTACGAATTATCAGTTGTCACAATACGATAAGTCATTGTAGACAATGATTTGACTTCCGTATAAGGCCTTACAGATTAGGTGGTCGCATCATGACAAATTTACAATTTAAGACCGGGTCTAGTATTAGAGCAGCACTAATAACAACCTTAGACAATAATTCTACATTGGTAAGCTAGACTAAAGAAACGCAGCCATTTTTTGTCTTCATTCTCACTTGAACTTTGCCCACCGAATTTTAACATGTGTTAACTTATTATTCTATTAGTTCTTTCAATAATGCTTTCGTGTATTATCGTAATTTAATATTGATTGGCACCCAGCTTGCCAGCTTGATCGATAATAATAGCTGGTTAGCTATATTTATTATTAACTGTGATGGTTTATTAACAAGCTTTAGTAGCGCTTACATGATTTAATAAAATAAAATCCCTAAAATATCCAAGTACTAGCAACCATGGCCTTTAATTGACATAAGTGCGCATTGGCTTGCAATATAAGCACGTAATAAATTGTTGTCGAGATCTAGTTCTTTACCTTGTTCCTTCATCTAACATCTCACTCTATTTTAAACTATAAGCTATCCCGTAATATCTTTTTTTTTCGACCACCGCTTGCCTAATTTATAATTTTTGAGTTGCCCAACAACGAACACAATACCTCAGAAACTTACGGTGAGTTTAAGCCATAAATATTTTGCAATCCCAATCTCATTTTAAATTTTTAATACGTTGGAAGCCAAGTATTTATCTGGACTACTGGATTCCTACTAAATCGATCAAGTGACAAAGTTGATAGCACGACGCACATCCAGGAGCTGTTTGGAATACTGCGTGTTCACTCTGATTGCTCTTGGATCGCTACTGTCACAGATGGTATTATATACGTCAAGTCTACTGGGCGATCTAATTTCTGAAAGTAATCCAGGTGAGGTTTACTATATTGCTGGATGATTAACTGTTTTGGTACTTAACGTGTATATATTTGCTTAGACCTGCCGTATATATTTCAAAAAAACCACTACCAAAACGCTTTTGACATACATTTTGATAGCTTTATGAGACAATTTAGTGCTATGGAAAAGTATATTGTCTGCAGGCGAAGCATTTCACGTTCAAAAATTATTTGACGCTTAGTTCTAATTACTTTTGCTACATATTTATAAATATCACTGGGATAAATACAGCAGCTTCTAATAAAAAGTTTATAACTCGTCATATTCTTAAATAAAGTTCCATAAGTCGTCTCAACTTCTAAAACATTTTTTATTTTGACCGGGTTCTTTTCACATTATTCCGTTCCTCATCAACCTACATGTTAACCAAGCTTATATATGCATTGTATTGTATCATCTGTGCCATTTAAATTTAACAATTACTCAAACCGTTTCCGACATTTTTCACTAAACTTATCATAATCTCTATTCCTATACGGATTTGGGCTTACAAATCTGTCTATCATATTAGTTGCTTAGATAGACAAATTTACCGAACGTAGGTACTATCATGATGCACTGATATAATTACTAAACTATCACGTAGTTAGTCAAACAAACATTTAAAATAAACTCCGGAGCCTACTATATAAATTAAAATTAAGTGAACAAATATTTCTGGATCGCGAAGTGTAATATAATCAGGCAGCTCGGATTCATTAACGCTACAAACTTCTGGTATTATGCAATCACCTGAAACAATAATACTTATTTCCCACATGCTAATCTTCAGTCAACACTACAGTTGGTTATTCATAGTGGATTCTAGATATCGTTATAAAGGATTGTCATGATTTGACAATCACGCAATATGATTGATAAAACTGATGAAACTGTTAGCAAAATCGTTCAACAAATTGATTTGTAATTATCATTAAATAATTTTGTTTTCTCGTTTTCTTCATCCATTACAGGCGATTTCAGTATGTTTCTCTATCAGTTGTTCATTCAGTAAATATCTTAAAACCTTTTCAGGCTAATTGGAGGTTTAGCGACACAATCATGCATGAGAGTCATCAGTATAATTAGTCAAGCGAATATCCTGCAAAATGTAAACGTCACTGTCACATTTATCCCAACGCTGACTAAGGTTCAAACCACTATCGTGGAAACGGGTTGGGAGTTGTACTCGCCTTGGTTACAACTTATGTTCTCTTTGATAATCATTTTATAAACTATATTAAACTCAACGAACTAACTGAAACAATAGATGAAATTTTTTCTCTCCACTGTAGTACTTTTGTTCCTTTCATTTAGCCTACTAATGCACATGCCATTGGAAGTCAACCACTACGGACAGCAGACCGACATCAACATTATTTGAACTTCCAATTTAAGCCGAAGATAATACTAATATCATCATTTATACAATATCGATTGTTTTCTATTTACCGTGTTTAAGAAGAATATGTATAATATATTTACAAAAATTGCGAATGTGATATTTTACTATGATGTTACATATGATCGCTGTTTGTGTGTCAAATGCGGGTAGAAAAGATTATCAGTTACTACTTAGTTAGGTGATGTATTATAATGTCAATTCTGAAAACAGTGGTCAGGACCATTTCGTTTTGTATACCAAAAATGTTCTTGATGTCCAACAATTCTTGAACACAATATCGCATCAACCTGCAATTAAGCAACAGCTACTAAACATATATGTTCATTAACGCCGTTTAAGGCTACAAATGTATTTATGAGTGTTTCTAGAGCAGAATCCGTTAACAGTATAACAATGCTCTATGTTAACGTGAGTAACAGAGAAGTTTGCTTGAGTTTTGACTGATGCCAATAATCAGATTACAGCTTAGTTTACATATCAAATAGTGAGAAACAACTGGGTCGGAAATACATAAGTTGTGATGGAAGAGAATTGCAAACATAGACGTAGAACGGTAAAACTCCAGTCTATAGCAGAGAAATAGCAACTCCCAAAAACTCTCAATAGCCACGAGTGTTAGAGACTAACACTGGATGACACAAATCCGCTTCAGCATGAATATCCTACCAGAACATTGCTAGCAAGAAGAGACTTTACACACTTTCCGGTCTTATTAACTTGTCTGCTTTACTAATTATTTAATTTGTTAAGCGAGTTCTTCAAATAGTCATCGCTCAATCATTACACAAAAGATCACTTTATTATTTTCATATTGCAGTCAACCAACGTTCTGGTTGAGAGTCCGACGGCAAACTGTAATTGAAAGCTTACTGATGAAACACACAGCGTTACATGGAGATGACATTGATCAAATATCATTCCTTTCATCTCTAGGGAGAAGCGATCATGTATTCATCATATTCTAGTTCATGTCTCAGATAGCATGTCAAACCTGTATGTTGCTTACCTCAAAGTGCCTACCGGTGAAGATCTTACCAACGCAGACGTGGCTGAAATCTTAACCTCCAACTTCACTTTTCAGCCCAATCAAAATCATACAAAAACGGAACAGTTCCCGACCCTAGTGAGAGTTGACGGCCTAATAAATTTCCATTCAACCTCCGAGTAAGCACCTTTGCAAAACTAAAGTGCCTGAGTTCAGGAAAATCATCAGAATGTGACAACATCCCCCCTGAAATTCTGGAACAGTGCACGAAAGCAATCAGTACACCAGTATGCGAACAGTTCAGGCACTCGCTAGAGTCACAACAGCGTCCAAGATATTAAAAACAGTCTACTGTCTCTCTAATCTTCAAAGTAGGAGATAGGAAAGTAGCAGCTTGCCGCAGACTAGTCACATTACTCTCAATAATATTGGAATTAATGAAGAAACTGGCTAATGATTGAATAAGGGAAAGGATAGACGAAAACAATGTCCTTCACGAAGCCTTAAGTAGTTTCAGGAACAAAAAGTTCTGCGCGCCCAATCTTTCCATAGAATGGAGAATCTGAGTAACAAGCTGGGATCGAACGATACTGGTCTATTTCATATCCCTCGACATCTAGTATGCTTTTAACGCATAACGGCACTCACTTCTCGTAGTGAAGGTCGCGAAGACGCATTTCACCGTCCATGATCCACAAGGCGCTCGCAAGTTGAGAGGCTTCAATGTTAGAAGTCTTATAAAGAACCATTTTGGGACTACCGATCTTTCTGACTTTCGTTGTTAACCCTCAAAACAGCAACTATTTCTCCAGTGAATAACATCAAGAGGAGATTTGACAAACATTTACTCACGTTATACCATTTGTTGTTCGGACTGACGGCCTTGAGCGACAAATCATAATCAAGGTAGAAGATGCGCGAGTTTAGAACGCTGTTAATGACAGCTTATTGCTGTTGCTCATGATTTTCATCATATTTCGTATTTTGAAAGCATTTAGTTTTCTTGTGGAATGAGCCACTAAGGTTAGTATATGATGGTCGTGAGTTGGACTTTGGCAGTTTGAGGGTTAGAACTTGATCGTAAGTAATAGTGCTTTGAGCCAGCGCTAGCTACACGCACGTTTAGCTGTATCATAGAAGCATACTAGAAGAGGAATAACATAGGCTGTGGGCCTTCTGTCCTTACCACACAAATCTGAATCGAGATTAATTCTTCTGAAAGACTTTTTCTGTGTTTATATACGCTGAGGTCTGAGAAAGTTTCAGGTAATCTGTAGGGTTATATGACATACTGTGTATTTCATGGAACCTCGACTCGAACACCATATCAGATCAGTTACTCTCCTTGAGCAACCCCATAACAAGTGGACATAAAAGAACGAAAATCCAGGTGCTCCCTAACTTTATGTCGTAATGGGTTGCCCTCATTTGTAATACACTGGCGGTAAGAATGTTCGCAGTCTCTTCAGTGCATAGCTTCGAGAGGAGGCATTTCAAAACCCTTGCTCACTCATAGACTATCATCTCGCTCTTGTGAACTGGTTGTGCTTAATGCATATTCCATAAATTTACTATTACTGTTTATAGACATCACTAACTTATCACTACCTCGCCTATCATCATCTCCATTTCTATGTCATTAGTTAATTCTACCTCTTGTTTAAAGGTACCAGTTGCTTTTGATTAGGATATTTGTACACGCAGCAGTCGGGGAAAGTTGTTGCTTCCATATATACTTGACAGATAAACGTTTCTGCATTTTGCATATCTTTTTTGTTTTTTGTGGTTTCAGAATGTTTCCTAGCAAGATTGTCCGAGAAGGATATTGTTAAGTCTTATTTGTTTTTTTTTCTAGGATGCTTCGCTTCTTAACCATATCTAATACCCGATCTCATTTAAGTTATTTTTGATACTTCCAACCTTATCAATTCAAAGTGAAATGGAAAAGGAGTGTTGTGCTGATCCATGGGATTTACGTCCCAAGGTTGAAAAGTCTACTTCCAAATGTGCTCCCCCCTTACAATTACACGTCTCTAAGAAACTGAAACAAAATCTTAGTGGACATTTGTCGCACAAAGAGACGTTCAGCACAAAGAATCCGCCGAACGTCACTTCAAAGATAAGCGGAAAAGAAAACGATATTAATAAATTGCAAAGTAATCAGGCCTTTCATATGAGCGAACACTGTCTACTTGTACGGTCGAAAAGTGATCACATCTTGAAAGATGTAGATAATTTTCCTATCGGTTCAATAAAAGTCCCTAGTTTAAGTGCGTCTTGTCAAAATAGTCGTTTACAATGTAACACATTTAAAGAAGAATCATTTTGCCACTCTGTTACTGGTTCTACTAGTACTAACTGTAACAATATAAAGCCAAGACTCACTAAGTGTGGCTCTTTACTTGGTCGTTCTTTAACCAATGAAGTAAACACATCAGATATGATGCCAAATCCTTCTGTGATAAACTATGATTCTACAAATACGAATAAAATCAACAGTCCCGAAAATCCTGACGTTCAATTTGTAGATGACATGCGTGAGGTCGATACCGGACATATTATACCTAAGCATCCTGTAAAGGACACATTAAATATGTGTGTCGCGAATCGTGTGAGATCTAGTCGAAGCTGCTTTCCTGTACATAATTATATCAAACTTAACTTGAAGAAGAAACAGTTTTGCCGTAAAGGATCATCAAGACAACAGACGTTAAGGAGAAAAGTTTATTTGAACAAGCTCAGAAAGAAGCTCAAAAATGTTAATCATAGGACAAACCCCTGCTTTATTTGCGGGGTTACAGGCCACTGGGCTAATAAGTGTCCACAAACCATCATGAAACCCCAACCCTCCATCGACAACAATTTACTCGATTGGCAACAATGCGATAACACGTGTAAAATACACAGTCTTGCTGAACTGGATAATCGCTACTTTCCAGCTCACATTAATGATGTTTTGCCGATCGAATTTATAAGTAATCTTTCGAAACAATCTCCTATTGACGAACTGTCTCGTCGTGTGCAATGTTGTCTACAGGAGTTGGGTTTTGAGTCATTCCGTCCCGGTCAAGAGTTAGTTATTTTGCGTACACTACTAGGCATTTCAACATTGGCTGTAATGCCGACTGCTTTTGGGAAGTCACTTTGCTACCAAATACCTGCAGTGATACACCAGGTAAGCTAAATTATCGTTTTAATCACTTTACATTATTATCATCGAGCAAGTTCACAAAACAGTCGCCTTGGTCATCTCACCCCTTATTTCGTTGATGGAAGACCAGGTCATACAACCTATATCGGGATTACATGGCACTTTCTTGAATTCAAGTCAGTCTGTCGATCGCAAAAAAGAAATATTAGAAGAAGCTCATAGGTGAGTATAATAGATTTCTTATAAAGATATAAGCGTTTAGGGTGCTACTTTACTGTATGTTAGATTTTGTCGTTCAGTTCATTTTCATCTTGAAAGTTCTTAATGAAGTATGCTGAATAAAATAACTAGGTAAACAATTATCATGAAGTACGGTCATTCATATTATTGCAGTATTCTTGTTCGAATACTGGAAACATTTTTGTTCGTACTACAGTTTGGCATTAAGTTTCTTTATTAAATGTGAAAATAAAAGTTTCATGGTTAGTTATTCTGACCGTAGCGACCACCTTGACGTGGTGTTTGGGTTTATTTATCGTGATGGCTTAGTCGAACTATGTTGACTGAAACCGAATTTTTTAGGTACTTCCATGCCAGGCAGGTCGGTTGAAAAACGGTAAAACTAAAAGCTGAATTCTAAGATCTGAGGGCTGAGTCGTTCTGCCAACTGAACAGGGGTGTGTCGGAAGTGATTTCTTACCTTCATTTGTCTGTATTCAAATAGCTCGAACCGTGCCGAAAAATCAGGGATCATGTGCAACGATTTCATCCATTTAGTAGAAACGCGTTTCAAGTTTACTATTTATATTAATTATTGCATACTGAAAACTCCTAATTTTGTGTTTGGGCGTCAATTGTTAATATTATTATAATTTTGTATTTATACTAAATGCTCAGCTTAAGTGAAAATGACGAGGTATGATACTGACATGTCTGTGGATGGTGCTGATTGCCCTCACTTCAGCTTGACTACTGTCCGATATCAAAGTTTTTGCTCGAAAATAATTTACATAATGTCACTGAGGCTTTCCTATATTCATCTCAATTTGACCGTTAAATATTTCCTCGCCCACTTAAATATTACGGTATAACCATGACAACAACTATCAGTAAATGCTGGCAGGATCAGAGAATCGTCACTGTGTAACGACGGGACTGCCAGTATTCGGTTTGATTGAAGCACTGATTAGCCAAAATTTATTCGAAAGGGCGAGACAATCCTCTACTGTTCAGCGTACCAAGCGTTATTGAGACACTTGTATTAAATTACATCAAAACACAAACTCTGTGCTCAATTTTAATGGTTTTAATTTAAGGAAATAGAACAAATTATATCCAAAATACAAAATATCTCAAGTGGCACAGCCTGTGCTACACAGTCAAAAGATTCTCTAACGCAAAGAAGCGCGCTAAGCAATAATAGAAACATATAATACCAAAGGGTTCGATACCCGAGAATCAATAAAATTATTCCCAACAAAATGAGATGAAATATCTATCTGCAGGGATTCCTGCAATCCTCTCATCAGTCAATAGGTTAACAGCCACACCCTGAACGAATCCATGACCTTGAGCTTAGTCAAACACGACCTTACTGTCAATAGTCTGGCGAAATGCAATAGAAAACTAGGTAACAAAAGGCAAGACATTAATCAAAATCACATAATACAAGACCGGACGAGTAAGACTGAAGAGCAAAAGGTGTGGTTAAACGAGATCTGAACAAAGGTTAAAATACACGACAGGGAGAAGAAACAAATAAATGACAGTACTGTCCAACAAAAAAGCTGCGGAGGGATTTTCAACGTTCTCTTTCCGTTACATACTGGAATAGTCATGAAGTAGCTGTTTTCTCTTTCCCTATTTGTATTATGTTTCAAATTAAGGGACAGGTTCAGGCTATTTTTTTATGCAGTTCCATTTCCCGTTGAGTCAATATAGGTATCGGGTCAGAATACCACCTTCCGAATAAAGTTCTGTCGGGAAAGTAAAACAACTCGCAAGTATTTAGTTCCACAGTTACTTTTAGTCAGCCTAGACTTCAGGTTGTTTGCGTTACCGTCGGTGATTTTTTGTGAAATGTGTCCTTGACATACTCAATCACAATTTTCTATGCATGATTTTGCTACAGCGTTACAGCTAAGTTCTCCTCTGGAGATGATTTTCTAAGTAATGGATGTGAATAACTCTCAACGTTTTTATTACATGCTCTCCATCACGTTAATCAACTCGAATTCTTGATTGACAACCACGATACATAGACCCACTTGGTTACATAAAAGTTAACATTCCTACGGCTTTGTAACAAAGCGAACACTGTGGCTTTCTACTGATACCGAGAGTACATCTAAGGGCGACAAACATACGCATACACTGTGATCTCTACTTCATAAATGAATATAATGAATACATCTAATCCGTACTTACTACACTTACTCAGTGAAACCCGGTAAAGGTATGTTCAAATTCTTCACAACGGTAGAAACTTTAATAAAGCTGACCCTGTTAATAAAGAGCACCTATGTCAGCTGAGACCCGATTCAAAGTACGTGATGCACAAATACTATTGACCATGAGTAGAAAACACCAAGATCAAGGGAGGAATTTTATCTGACTGTAAAATATATAACAGTACATGATAACGGTCGTGATCCATCAATATAGTAATGTTCTCCCAAAATATCCAGCACGTTCGAATTCACATATATTAGAAAAGCAAGACAGACTAGTAACAAACGAACCACCTCAAACTATTCAAATACAGTCTCCTCACTCAAGGTCGTACCAACATAAGAGGTAATTTTAACGAGGTAGTGGTTCGTTTATTTGATATACATAATCACTGCCCAAAAACTTAGGTATATTTTAGACGGTTTAAATTTATGGTTGTATGAACGTACGTTTGTGTTATTAGACTTTTCCAACATTAACAACTATCAGTGTTGTCTGACAATAGTTTAAATAGTTATTTATAATGGCACTATCGGACTTCAGATGTCTAGATCTGATTTCGTCTATATAAACATCTGGTTTTCCATTATTCTTCTAGTTCCGAATTCGCTAAAGATAAATGTTCGTGCTGTCGAATATGATTGGCTTTAAAAATGGGGCGGTTCATGGAATACTTGTAATCGTGGTTTTGATCAGTTTAGTGACCATAACTGAAAGCTATCACCTCATGATCACAGCTAAATTCACAACAATAAATACTAGACGCTTACTGGTTTTATGGTCGCTTTGTTAAGCTTTTTCGAAGCTGTATAAGCTAATCATTTTCTGACGACGTAGGACGACTTAAGCGTGCTTCGGTTCAAATAGTCATATCGCATTGGTAAGGCTGGATGGAATTATTAAGGCGAATATAAAATTAGTCAGAGTGGTGTCACAGTTGATGGTATGAAAAACCATGGGAAAGACGGCTAGAAAAGAAGAGATGCAATTTTTAAACGAAAGCAGGAATTAGTGTTAAAACTCAGATTCTAGATAGGGATAAGTAAGTAACGTTATTGCGATTTTGCGACCGATTTTATCATATGGGTGGATACCATTCAGATTTTGCACGCGATTTCATTTCACACAATGTGTTAGTCAAGAGGCAAGTTTACAATTCAAATATGAAACAAATATGCTATGGTAGGTAAAGGGCGGAACTTGAGATAGAAAATACATCAATAGCATTATCTTTCAAAAGATGGACGAGTGATATGCATTCGACAACGTCATCTGTCACAAGCGGCATCACTTGGTTTATTTTTCCATCTTATTAACCACGGGTAAACTATTTAGGGAAGAGACACCAATGGAGTGTTTAACAATGACTAACTTTAGGCTTCAATGTTACACTTGGCGTCAATAATTCTGTAACATTCTTAACCGATTCGGGCCATTCACACAACGTGTCCTTGGTTAATCATTAGTCGAATGTTAGTTGAGATCGTATGATATCTTGGATTATGACACTTCTTATTTTGAACGATGATTTTGTTGACGATGTGTTTTTTTCATTATATGGGCACCTTTTGTTTTAAAACTGTATCGACAATCACGTTCCAACTGCTTGGTAATATACACCCAAAACGTTGGATGATGTAAACTTTGCGAGTCCACTAACCTCAAATGTGTTGGATTCCATTTGTAATTGAGTTTCATTCATCTGGAAATTCTCGTTTTTTATGGTTATGTCAAAGTAGCCTGTTGTCTAGAGACGAAAAGTGGACTCAGGTGTCTAGACTACTAACTATGAATTACCTAACTAACTGTAACTGTATAGAATGATTATAATCACGTAATACCTTGGATTATAACCCTCGCCGTGCTTCTAGTTATGATTTGATCAGTCGTATTTTTTTGTTACTTGGTAGAATATTCTCAGGAGGTTTAGTAACCAAACTCAAACTACTTGCCTCTGGACATTTGTTTTTCATGAGTCGTATGCATTTAAAATCCATTATTACAGCTTAAAGTATCATCACATTTTATTAACTGTTTCTCAAATATGTAGCTGTTGATTGTAAGAATAGAACAACTAGCCTTTCCATACTACTGGAAACTGGATTTAAATTGTTCCGTCTTTAACTTTGGTTAACTGGCTATCTTGTTGATATCTATCTGTTTAGGAGAGACATTATGTGAAAGCGAACTAAGACAATAGATATTTATTTGGGGGATGCTGTCGTTGCGTGTTACTAAGTTAGGTTGTATCTTAGTAATTGAAGAAGCTACTTTAAATATTTCATTGGAAAGCTGACTTTATTATTTGACTAGTGCCAATAAATAAAATCATAACTCCAGTGCGAATGGTTCCACTTCACTAATGTTATCCTTTACGTTGATCTTATGAATAAGACTAAAAATAAAACATACTAAGGATACAACTTAATACAACTTAGTAACATATTGGTTCATTAGTCTAGTGGTTTTTATTGCTTCACTTAGATGAACTTACTGACATGAAACCTAAAGCTAACACAAATATGTAGATATCCCTGGTGACCCAATGGAATTACAGACATCAGATAATAAAGTGGAAATTT